GGTTTACATCTTGTGGTGAACCCTCTGTATTCACTCTGGTGAAGTCTTCTCTTGATTGTTGACTTTGACACACATACACCTACCTCCTGGAGAGTGTTCTTGATCTGGCCAACTGTTGTGAAGGGTGTTTTCTTCACCAGGGAAAGAATTCTTCAGTCATCCACCACAGTTGTTTTCTGTGGTCTTTCGGGTCTTTTGGTGTTGCTGAGCTCACTGGTGCGTTCTTTCTTTTTAAGAATGTTCCAAACAGTTGTTTTGGCCATAACTTCAATAAAGGAATGCGCTAAAACCACAAAATATTCCTAATTTAGTGTAGAAACATTAGTGCAAAAGATATATATATCTACTCTCAATTAATAAAAAAAATATCAAAAAATTATGTGCAAAACAATTTTTTAGTGCATAATTAATTTAAATAATTAAATTTGTGAATATATATAAAAAAAAAAAAAAATGTCCAATTCTGAATTTCTTCAAATGTCCAAACAAATCCTTTTCAAATTCAGGTGCTCTCAAAGAAATTGTGCCAAAATCCACCACCAAAGTAAAGTTGGGTAACTCACCAGAGCTCCATGCTGATCAATCTCTAGATCAGCAAAAAACGCTTTTTGCTCTGGGAGCAGATGCAATGAATCAACTTCTCAGGTGTGATGATCAATAGCTACACATTCATCCATAAGGTAGGTATCCACCACTCAATATAATGGTTCCAGGAGCATTATATCACTCTCTCTTTTTATATCTCTCCACCGAGGTCATGTTTGGGAATGAAAGAGAAAATCATGGTGCAGCCAGTTTTTTTTATAAAAGTATCCAACAATTTAATAAAGATTTACACTCACAAAAAGGGTGTCTTCACCGACACCAGTATAACAGCATAAAACAGCAAATGGTATAACAGTCTCCTGTTCCCCGTACACTCACTACAGCGCTCGTGACTCAATTTTCTCCACAAACGTCAGCATCCAGCAAGCCCTACTAGTTTTGTCATGAATGACGTCTTCAATTAGGCCATGCCTAATGTTTTGCTATCTCTCTGATGGGTTTGTTTTGTTTTTTCAGCCTAATGATGGCTTGCTTCACTGATAGTGACAGCTCTTTGGATCTCATCTTGAGAGTTGACAGCAACAGATTCCAAATGCAAATAGCACACTTGAAATGAACTCTGGACCTCTTATCTTCTCATTGTAATTGGGATAATGAGGGAATAACACACACCTGGCTATGGAACAGCTGAGAAGCCAATTGTCCCATTACTTTTGGTCCCTTAACAAGTGGGAGGCACATATGCAAACTGTTGTAATTCCTACACCGTTCACCTGATTTGGATGTAAATACCCTCAAATTAAAGCTGACAGTCTGCAGTTAAATCACATCTTGTTCGTTTCATTTCAAATCCATTGTGGTGGTATATAGAGCCAAAAATGTTAGAATTGTGTTGATGTCCCAATATTTATGGACCTGACTGGATATGTGTAAAGCGCTGCGTAAATTGACAGCGCTATATAAGTACCTGAAATAAATAATAAAATAATAGTAAAGATTTAGGGGGTTATTTACCAAAGAGTGCTAAATCTGGTGCAGCCCTGCATAGAAAACAATCAGCTTCCAGGTTTTATTGCCAAAGCTTAAATGAAGAAGCTGAAGTTAGAAGCTGATTGGCTACCATGTACAGCTGCACCAGATTCTGAGTGCGCCAGTTTTAGTAAATCCCCACCTTAGATTCAGCCTGCAGATGAAATTGCCAGAAATAGCTCTCCATGGTGCTGAAACTGTATTTCTACTCAAACAAACAGTGTGCCCCCATCCCCAAAGCTAACCAGTTTGGCACACTAGGCATGCAGGCTGGTACCTCTAAAGCAAGGGAGTTGCGGGCATGCAACCCCACTTTGATGCTGATATCAGCCAATGCACCTTTCAGCATTGGAGGGGTGATTTGAGTGGGGTTCTTAAAAAAATTGGGTAAATTTTCAGTGAATTTTGGAAAAAAACTGTGTCTGTGAAAAACTGCAAACACAAAATGTAAATGTTTAACAGAAAATGGTTTAAAAGCATGTTGTGATAGGCGACGTGTCAGAGTTATTGATCTGCTGCTCATGCCCTGCTTCAGACTCTTATTTGTACCTTGGTAGTTACTCACTTTACCACCATGTTGAACAGGTAGCCTTCTCAGCTTGAGCTGTATCAGGGGACTAAAATACTGCCCCTCCTGACTTAGGAATTAGACCACAATACAGGTCCAGCTTCCTACCAGTACTGAAAATTCTCATTAGTAGTTTCTAACTCACTATTCCTAAACAAATGTGCAGGTCAGGAACTCAAAGTTCATTCTTCACTTCATTCATTTGATGCATGCTTTTATAAGCATGTAACTTAGAAAATGTTAAAGACAATCAACTAGCATTTTTAGAAATTGTTTCCTCTAAAGCTGAAGGACAGGCAGATGTATTTTCTTGCCACCTCAACCTGTGCAACATCTCCAAAATACACCCCTTCCTAACCTAAGACACCACAAAGACACCACATCCGCCCCATCTGCCCCCAGACAGATGTATTTTCTTACCACCACAACCTGTGCAACATCTCCAAAATATGCCCCTTCCTAAATAAAGACACCACAAAGCTTCTAATTCACTCCCTGCAACTCCCTCCTCATTGACTCACCTCTACATAGGCTATCCCCTCTTAGGTCTTACGTGAATGCTGCTGCCAGATTCATCCACCTAACCAACCATTCAGTGTCTGCTACTCCTCTCTGCCTGTCCCTCCCTGGCTCCAACTCACCCAACAAATTAAATTCAAAATGCTAACAACAACTTACAAAGCCGTTCACAACTCAAAGCCCCCAGCTACATCACTAATCTGCTCTCAAAATACCAACCAAATCGTTCTCTTCATTCCTCCCAAGACCTCCTGCTTTCTAGCGCCCTTGACACCACCTCCGATGCTTGCCTCCAGAAATTTTCCCAAGTCTCTCCCACCTGTGGAATTTCCGTACCCCAATCTGTCCGACTGTCTCCTACTCTGTCTACTTTTATAAGACCCCTAAAAACCCATCTCTTCAGAAAGCCTTTCCCGCCCTCACCTAATATCCGTGATTTATTTTCTCCATCAGCTCATCCCACACAGTTGTTGACTTTTGTATCTCTTGACCCTCCTGTTTATTATTATTATTATTATTATTATACAGTATTTATAAAGCGCCAATAGTTCGCTCAGCGCTGTACATTACAAAGGGAGACAGAACATGTGACAGAACATTACCAATACAATGCAAAACATGAGGGGATCAAGGGCCCTGCTCTTTCGAGCTTACAATCTAGGAGGGAGGGGGTGGTGGCACAGGAGGAGATAGCTGTGGGGGATGGAGTGGTAGGAAGAGTGGAGGAGGTCGGCAAGTTAGCAGGGGGTGGGGTAGGCTTCCCTGAAGAGATGGGTTTTCAGGGTGCGCCTAAAGGAGAGGAGAGTAGGTGATAATCTGATGGGTTGGGGCAGGGAGTTCCAGAGGATGGGTGACACCCTGGAGAAGTCCTGGAGGCGGGCATGGGAGGAGGAGACCAGGGAACTAGAGAGAAGGAGGTCTTGTGAGGAGCGGAGTGTGCGTGCTGGGCGGTATTTGGATATTAGGTCAGTGATGTAGTTCGGGGCAGTATGGTGGACAGCTTTGTACGTCAGCGTTAGGAATTTGAATTTGATCCGTTGCGCAATCGGAAGCCAGTGGAGGGATTGGCAGAGGGGGGGTGGCGGAGACAGAGCGGTTGGAAAGGTGAATGAGTCTGGCAGCCGTGTTCAGGATGGACTGAAGAGGGGATAGCCAGCGGCGAGGCAGGCCAGTGAGGAGGGAGTTGCAGTAGTCAAGTCGTGATATGATGAGGGAGTGGATGAGCTGTTTAGTGGTTTCTGGGGTTAGGAACGTGCGGATTTTGGCGATGTTGCGGAGGTGGAGTCTGCACGAGTTTGTTAAAGATTGGACTTGGGGCTGGAAGGATAGGTTGGAGTCCAGAATGACACCCAGTACTCTGGCCTGCAGGGCGGGTTTGATGGTAGCGTTGTTGGATGTGACGGAGAAATCAATGGGGGGTGGTGTCCGGGCTGGGGGGAAGACAAGAAACTCGGTTTTGGAGAAGTTCAATTTAAGGAAGTGGAGTGACATCCAGTCTGATATGTCGCTCAGTAGGTGTGTGATTCGGGCTGAGACCAAGGGGGTGAGGTGGGGGGTTGAGAGATAGATTTGTGTGTCGTCGGCATAGAGGTGGTAGTTGAAGCCGTGAGAGTGTATGAGTTGGCCAAGGGAAGAGGTATAGATGGAGAAGAGAAGGGGCCCGAGGACAGAGCCTTGAGGGACCCCAACAGAGAGGGGGAGTGAGGGGGAGGTGGTATAGCATTATAGGTAACGCTGAAGGAGCGTTGTGACAGGTAGGATGAGAGCCAGGAGAGAGCAGAATCTCTGAGGCCGAGGGAGTGTAGTTTTTTGAGGAGGAGGGGGTGGTCGACTGTGTCGAAGGCCGCAGAGAGGTCAAGGAGTAGGAGCACTGAATAGTGGCCATTAGCTTTGGCGGTTAGCAGGTCGTTGGAGAGTTTGAGTAAGGCAGTTTCGGTGGAGTGTAGGGACGGAAGCCGGACTGTAGGGGATCGAGGAGGTTGTTGTCGTTTGAGGTGAGAGCATAGGCGGGTGTAGACGAGGCGCTCGAGGAGTTTAGATGTAAATGGGAGCAGGGAGATGGGTCTGAGGTTGTTCGGGTCATTGGAGTCCAGGGAGGGCTTTTTAAGTATGTTTAGATTGTAAGCTCTAATGAGCAGGATCCTCTGAATCCTCCAGTATTGAATTGTATTGTAACAGTACTGTCTGCCCTCACATTGTAAAGCACTGCACAAACTGTTGGCGCTATATAAATCCTGTATAATAATAATAATGATCCATGATCATTAACCACCAAGGTGGTTCTCTCGTTCTGGGAGGACGTCATATGATGTCCTCCCATTCTAACTGCGCATGCGCGGCTCAGGGAGCGCGCAGCGCGGCGCGCGGCGGTGCGTTGTGTCCCTCGAACACAGCGGATCACCGATCACGGAAAGAGCCAAAGATGTCAGCTCGGTCATGTGATCAGCTGTGTCCAATCACAGCTGATCACATGTAAACAGGGAAATGCCGGTTATCAGCATTTCTCTCCTCTCGAGCTGTCACGCTGACAGCTCGAGGAGAGAAAAGCCGGTAATCGGCTTTCCGTGGAGGGGATATGTACACTGATCATCAGAGCACTGATGATCAGTGTGTGCCCTGATGATAAGTGTAGCCCCAGCAGTGCCACCTGTCAGTGTCCATCAGTGCCTTATGTCAGTGCCTTGTGCCAGTGCCCATCAGTGCCACATATCAGTGCACACCAGTGCACATCAATGCCACATATCAGTGCCCACCTGAGCTGCCTTTCAGTGTCACCCATCAGTGCCAGTCAGTGCCACTTATCAATGCCAATCAGTGCCACCTATCAGTGCCACTTATCAGTGCCTATCAGTGCCGCCTATCAGTGCCAGCCAGTGCTGCCTATCAGTGCCAGTCAGTGCCGCCTATCAGTGCCTGTCAGTGCTGCCTAACAGTACCAGTCAGTGCCGCCTAACAGTGCCAGTCAGTTCTGCCTATTAGTGCCAATCAGTGCCGCCTATCAGTGCCATATATCAGTGCCATATATCAGTGTCATGTATCAGTGCCCATCAGTGATGCCTGTCAATGCCTATCAGTGCCACCTACCAGTGCCTCCTCATCAGTGCCCATCAGTGCCACCTATCAGTGTCCATAAGTGCAGCCTATCAGTGCCCATCACTGCAGCCTCATTAGCGCACATCAGTGAAGGAGAAAAAATCACTTATTTACAAAATTGTATAACAAAAACTAAGAAAAAACATTTTTTTTTTTCAAAATTTTCAGTGGTTTTTGGTTTGTTTAAGAAAAAATAAAAAACCCAGAGGTGATTAAATACCACCAAAATAAAGCTCTATCTGTCACAAAAAAATGATAAAAATGTCATATGGGTACAGTGTTGCATGACAGCGCAATTTTCATTCAAAGTGTGAGAGCGCTGAAAGCTGGAAATTGGCCTGGGCAGGAAGGGGCTATAAGTGGTTAAAGTGTTAGTTTAGCTCTACAGGAAAAAGTAAAGATTAACCAACACTAGACACCCTTCCCACCCTCCGGTCCCAGCTGTACTTACCTCTGGGGCTGTCCAGCAGTCCAGGTATTTTCTTCTTCTCCATGCAGCGCTTCTGGCACAGACCAAATGGATTCTGATTGGTCAGTGACAAAGGGGAACTAACCCTTTCAATATTTTTTTTTTTTTAAATTAAAGCAGTGTAAGTGCCAGAATTTGACCTGCCTTGTAATTCTTGGGGGAGAGAAGCAACACAAGGAGACAATCAGATGTACTGCAGTGCAAAAAGCATCATAATAACAGAAAGATAAAGGGAGAACAGAATGACAGAGAGATACGCTCATCAGTGTGCTGCTTTTCCTTTCACTGTCCAGTCACAGGGCAGGGATGAGGAGAAGATCTGTAGGTGAAAGTGAAACTGCAGCTGAGAATGATCAGGTCCTTTACCATCCAGACAGGGCTGTCTTGTATGGCAGCACTGTTTAGATCTCAGGACTGGATGGACAGAATTTCTTTGGAAGGTAAAACAGCTGTGCATTTAGATATCTGCCTGGAGTTCAGCTTTAAAAAAGCAGCACTATGAAAGAAGTATTTTTTTAACTAGCAAATAAGATTATAGCTGTTACAGAAACTATTACTCAAATAACATCTTAATGTACAATACAAGACATTACACTCGGGTCACATTCAGTACAGCTCCTATTAACATCCTTGTGTTGTTAATCTTATTGATTAGACACAGAAGACCATTACCCATGTCCCGATACATATTCCTTTTAGAGGCCTTAGTAGAAAACGATTGAATGTAGTTTTAAATTAACAGAAAATCCGATTACATGCCAAGTGGCATCTTCCACTCAGCCTTGAAATGGGTGGAAAAAAAATTGTGAATCTGGCTGCCTTCATGGAGTATTATAGTCAAAATGATATTTTCTGAGAAGCCTGGAACATTTTTTTTTTCAGTAGGTTCATAAAACGAAATGGAAGAAGTGAGTCGAAATACCATGTCAATAACAGCAGAGATGGGTTCGCCGTATTCTGGAGCCTCTGTATAGATCATTTTCTGTCTAGACTTAGTATTTACTAATGTTAAATCATTATTAATGTAGTTGTATCAGGGGTGGTGGGAGCCCTCTGTTGTCCTTCTAGTTCATATTGATACTGGGATCTATTCAAAGGCAGCCCCCAGTGCAGGGATTTCTTCTAAGCAATGCTGTTCAGTCAAGTGAATTTGCAGAACCACCCTGCAATTCTCATTATGTTCCCCAAGCTGCACATTCGTCTCTGCGTTAAGACTCAGCTTTCCGCACGCCAGCTTGGTCCCCCTAGCATACCACTTGCATAAACATTCCGAGAACAACGGCCCTTTTCATAACAAGAAATGCCTGATGTAAATTATTAAACAGAGTATCTATATAATTCATACAAACAATAAAAAGAAAACTCGAAATACACTCAAACTGCATAAGTCAGGCTGAACCTTGTTTTAGTAGAAGCACGGCGAGCTTGGAGCCGTCTCTCATTGGGCTTTTATTCTGCTTTTAAGGTTAGATTTGTCATATTTTGGAATGATAGAGCTGCTGTCAGTCACTGGCTCTCTGCTCTGCCTCTCCAGCACTTACCGGAGCACCGGACTATGGAGGGAGCAGGAGGGGTTAGTTCAGGTTCTCAGTGGTGCACTGACAGGCTGACCCAGCTGCCGGTATCTGTGTGGATCCCAACATTATTGTCAGGATCCCTGCAGAGCCTGAACTGGCTCTATGATGTCAGCTGACAGCGAACCTTAGCCCACTATTGGTTGAATCTGGGTCACAGGAGTGCAGAACTAACTGTAAAAGAGCTTTGGCCATACTTCTCCTTTAACCACTTCAATACCGGGCACTTTTACCCCCTTCCTGCCCTGGCCAATTTTCAGCTTTCAGTGTTGTTGCACTTAAATAAATCAACAACACTGTACCCATAAACATTTTGTATAATTTTTTTCACACAAATAGAGCTTTCTTTTGGTAGTATTTAATCACCTCTGATTTTTTTTATTTTTTTGCTAAATAAACAAAAAAAACCTGAAACTTTTGAAAAAAAAACCCACATTTGTCTTTGTTTCTGTTATACAATTTTTGCAACGAAATAACATTTCTTCATAAATTTAGATCAAAATGTATTCTGCTAAATTTTTTTGGTGAAAATACCCCATATTAGTGCATATTATTTAGTCTGTAGGAAAGTTATAGAGTCTACAAACCATGGTATATATCTGACAATTGATCAGTCCTGATGTACTGACGGCCCATCTCATTTCTTGAAACCCAAAAACGCCAGGATAGTACAAATATACCCCCCCAAATGACCCATTTTTTGGAAAATAGACAGTCCAAGGTATTTAGTAAGTGGAATGGTGAGTTTTTTAGAGGTTGTAATTTTTTGTTACAATTTTTTTGAAAATGTAAAAATAAAAAATAAAAAAAATCACAATTTTTTTTGTTTGTTACATATTGTCATCAGTCCAGTATAGCGTTATTATATAACTGGTCTGGTGGTGATCAGGGACACTGACTGGTGACAGTATGTAAAAAAATAAAAATAATAATTAATTTTTTTTTTCTAATTTTTTTTTTTTTTACTTTTTTTAATTTTTTATTACATTATTTTTAATTTTTTAACTATTATTTTCAACACACTGTGACCAAAAGCAATACAATATTACCATAGTAACATTGAACTACTCTGGGCAAGTGATCAGGATTTTTTTGTTTTGCACATTATGATAATACCAATGTATTTGATTGATATTTGCAATCATTGTTACTGAATGAACTGAGTCATTCAGTCTTTTTTTGCTGTGATTAGCTGTGATTGTGCAAAGCTCATCACATGATACAGATGGGCTGTGATTGGCCCTGCCTGTACCATGTGACAGCTGTGTCCCGTGGACATATGTGAACAGGCACCATAGGAAGCAATGTTTTTCACATGTCATGCGGTTCAAACCATATCCAATCCACATATATGTGAATGGGCACTTAAAGTATATGTGACCTCTCACCTTGTAAAACAACCCATTCAGTTCAAAACAAAAATGAAAGACAAAACATTTGTGTATAGATATAAAAAATTATAAATAACAGTTTTTTTTCTTTTTTATAAATGATCACATACCCTCTGTTCTCAGCTGCATAAAGGGCTTAAAGAGCTGGTGAAGGAAAAACAGCAGCACACTGATCTTACCGAACTTAGTTGTAGTGTTGGATATAGTGTGGAAGTGTTAAAATCCCTGTATGGTTTTCATTGCTGTCTGTGTTTCTTTTAAGGAGATTCACCTTCTATTTGTTCAGGTGGCACACAGGCTGAAAATGATGGTAAATCCAAATTTTTACAGGTGTCACTCAAACAGGATGAGATATGAAATCATCCAATGGGCATAATTGTTCCAATGTCAACTGTCAAAGAGGGAATTTCTTCTTCCTTTAATTTCTTATAACTGGAGTTCTACTTTATTCACAGCTAATTCACACCGAAGCAATCCCTTGATCTTAGAAACTCTAAAATGCTCTAAAATCTAAATCTAGTCTAAAATCCCCATCACATCAGTGAATGGCTGTGCGGGGGACATGACAGCAGAAGTCTGATCATTGGAGGGGAGCAGGCTCAGTTTCCAGCACAGCTGGAGAACTGAACACGCTGTGCTCTCATCCCTAATGTGGTCAGTTTCTAATAGGAAAGCAGAGGGACTGGCAGGATGACCAGGGATTTCACACAAAGGAAGCAATTTAAACAGAACAGGACACTTTTTCATACAAGGACATGGTACAATGTTGGGTTAGTATATTCTTTAACACATGTCAGGTTTTGGCCCCAGAAAGCTAGTCCTGCTCAGTATCGTAACAAACACAAGAAACAAGGCCGCACTTTGATGATGTCACACCTTAGGTTTATTTAATCAAGCTGGCTTCTGACACCAGTCTCCACCCATACCCATACCTCACTGATGCGTTTCACCCCGATTGAAATTATTCTTAGAGGTCCTCTATGAATAAAGCCCAGTCAGAGTGAAACACATCAGTGCGGTATAGGTATGGGTGGAGAGAGTGTTGGAAGCCAGGTTGATTGAGTAAACCCAAGGTGTGATGTCATCTGAGTGCAGCTTCCCTTATTATGTTTACTACATAGCTGTTGTTATCGGCAGGAAACTGGTCACGATTATTGATATGTAGCTGACACTTAGGCAGCATGTGCATGTAGAGAGGAAGTGTCATGTGCATGAAAAAGAGGTAAAAAAAACATTATGAAAAAAATGACAGTTGTTTTTCATATGTAATTCTTTTACAAATTACACGTCATCCAATTTTGGTTTACTTCTGCTTT